CTGGCCAGCACAAGCACAATATGAGGAGGATGGCAGCAGACAGAACAGGTGTGGACTGAGCATCCTTTCACCTGCTCACACCCTCCCCAGGTGTGTGGACTCCTCAGGGTGGCAGGTGGGCCATGAGGCTCAGGGCCTTGAGTGAAGACCAGGAAAACAGGGCACCAATGAGTGCTATTGGGTCTCTGTTCCTCAGCAGAATTCCTTGGCTCTTTTCCCTAATATTCCCAGAGTGCTAAGTAATATCTGAGCAGAACCCTTTGGAGGAAATGAAGAAGAAGGTGGGATAGGTGCTCTGGTGATGCAACAGCTCCCTCCCTCCATGCTTCTTCCCTGTCCCTAATGATTCCCCACCTCCTCATGCCATGCACTACAGTCTTGGCTTCACAGAGCCTTGGCTGGCCCTGAAGAGAGCCAGTACATCCAGGCATCCACCAGGAAGGTGGGCAGGTAGCTCATGGGGAGGTAGAGAAGCTTTGCATCCCAGCCTGCTGAGTATCGGGTGTGGGGGTGGCAGGCGGTCAGTGCATGCTCCATGCAGTTCGTCACCAAGGACAGATCCTGTGAGAACAGTGGCTTCAGAACTACAAGTCTTTTCATGTCTGCAAAGAACAAGAAATGACCCAGATGTACCTCAACCTCACACTACTCCTGCTTTGGGATCAATTGTGAGAGGAAACGTTCTCTAAGTATTGATGTCTCCCACCCCCAAAGCCACGACCCAAATCTAATCCATCCAAACTCCCTGGGGAATGCCTTAAACTTGCACATGGAACAACTGTTCTACACTAAGCCATCTCTGCCTCTCTTCCTGGGATTATCTGGGCTGCCTTAATTGGGGTCTCTGCCAACACTAGAAATCTTAGCACAAAAACCCAGCTGTCTCTAAAGCCATCGTGTCACGAGTCCACACCTATGTTACCTCTCTGGCTTCATTTGCTCCTTAAAATATGAGAGGTTCAGAGGAAGCAGTGGTCCATGTCCTAATAAGTCTACACTTTTCCTTTAGGTGATCGGTTGACCACATGGCAACAAGGGAATAGGCTGAACATTTCCAGTTTCGGGGGTAGGCAGAACCTAGAGGATGGACCCTCATACCGTAGAAGGCACTAAAGGTAAACCAAGGATTCCACAGAAGGGTTTGCTTCTCTCCCCACTGTCCAAAGCTTACTCACGGGATGCCAGAAACTTCTCGCCATAGATCTGCTTGACTTCCAGGCTAAGCCGGTCCCATTTCTCCTGGAAGGACTGCATAAGCCTCTCACTGTTGGTTATGCTAGTGTTGAAGAAACCAGGCTCAATCACAGCCACCTTCACCCCAAAATAGGAAAGCTCCCTCCTGCAACACAGACAGGCAGAGGGCAAAGAGTTCAGAGGTCTTGGGAGGCAAAACACAAACAATAAAAAAAACCCAATAACACCCCAACATGAGATTGGGTTGGGATAAGGTCAAAATTGCCATTGGTAGCCGACCCCGTGGCTCACTCGGAAGAGTGCGGCACTGGGAGCGCCGAGGCTGCGGGTTCGGATCCTATATAGGGATGGCCAGTGCGCTCCCTGGCAGAGC